TAACCTCCCGGGTAAATTTAAGCAATTAAAATCTCTACTTTACCTTCTATATAATGTCAGATTACCATTCAAGTCCCATTTTAACTCTCGGGTAGAACAGAACACTACTATACCCACAAAGCACTACCATGCTTAGATGTAATTATTATGATTATTTATAATCATGTAAAAGTCGGCTTGCTTGATCACTGGGTGAATTAAGTATCTTAGTGGGTATCTTGTCGGTCCCAAACTCGGATAAAGGATGAGGGTTGTAAGGTTATTTTTGCTTCCTGCCTGACGTAAAACATATAACACGCTCATAGACCCGCAGAATCGCCTCGGATTAGGACTGCTACACGGAAATCGACCCAGGCATAAAAAAGGACAGCGAAAAAGAAACAGAAAAATATCCTAAGAATAGCTTTCTAAAATGTAAAAACATTCAACAACAAAGAGCAAAAGATAACAGAAGAGGTAAAAAAATCTGAAAATAGACGTTCCTGCATTACAGGAAACAAAGAAAAAAGGCAAGGGTTAAAAAGCGTACGGGGAATACGTGGTAATATATAGTGGTGTTGACAAGAACGAAAGAGCTAAGGAAGGTGTGGCTATTGCCTTACACAAGAAATACACCTACCAAGTCGAAAAATGCAAATATATATCACCACGTATAGTAATAATAAAGTTCATGACCGAACCACAACCTCTGCATATAATATCGGTCTACGAGCCAGAAGACAACAAACCGAAACAAGAGAAGGAAATTTTTTTTAACGAACTTGAAAGTATCGTGGAGTCAATACCATTAAGGGAATTATTTTGTCATCCTCGGAGATTTTAATGCTCGCATCGGTAACGAGCCAATTTTCGGAGTCATGCAACGGTTCAACGAACACATAATTAACGATATCGGGAAACTTATGATCAACCTCTGTTCTCTGATATGGTTTAGAATAAAAAACACCTGCTTCAACCATAAAGGCCAACATTAATATACGTTTGGTAACACTCGAGGTCAGAAGCCAACGATTGACTACGTCGTGACGAACACATGCATACTACCTTTCGAAATTTTAGATCAGTCAGAGTGCTTAACTCAGCTGATGTGGGAAGCGATCATGGTTTACTCCTTAGCAAATTTAGATTAAAGTATAGCTTCAAAAGGAAACAACAACACCTAGTCAGAGCAAGGGAAAAAATTAGGGTAGAAGTTCTGTGAGACCAAACAACCCGAGATCTGTACAGGAAATGATTAAAGGAATGAATTAAACTGCACCTAACTACCAACTTGGACGATCTCAACACAATTTGGAGCAATCTAAAGACAAATATCAGAACTGCAACTATGGAAGCTGTAGGAACAACAACATATAAGAGCCAAGGATTTACAAAATATAAAACACCCTGGTTCTGCAGAGAAGTCAAAAATAAATGCAGAAAGAAGAGAGAAGCATGCCTAAATTATCTAACAACTAGAACTGCTGAGTCATCCAACGCATATAAACAAATTCGGAACAAAACCGGTACTATGGTAAGAAAACTAAAAGGCAGATACTCCTTTTTTTCTCTAGAAATCTCACAGACCAGAATTCACCAAATATACGACAAGGAAATGCACACGAAGCAAAGTAACAGAATTTACGATACAGAAATAATAAAATAAAATGAGCTGAGCTAAATTAACTTTTGACTAAAGAGTTCGACGAAGCGCACTAGAATAATCGATATCGACGCAGCTTTCGCTGAATCCTAGATTATCAGGGCGCGGAGGCAGACGCACCGAGATCACGCAACGTCGATCCGCCAGTAGAAACCTCAGGTCGCAATGGCGCCACGTGCTTCGTCAAATCAGATGCTGCTACTTCCTTGATCGGCTACTTGGCCGGACAGATGTTGCCACCGCCAAACGCGCGCACTCCCAGAGGCTGCTAGGGACATCTGCCGAAGTAGGTGCCGGCGTACAGGAAGGTGTCAGCACCATCCTGGTGAGAAGCGCTGCCACTTGACGAATCGACCGAGAGGTGTCAGAACCGAGGAGGTGCGGGTGCGGTGCTACAGTCACTCCCCCCTCGGGACCCGATGCCGGAGGCGAACGGAAAACTAGAGTCTCCGGAGAAAGTTCGGTCGATGACGTTGCTGAAGTTGTCCGTTGCTGAAGGTCGCAGGAGGTGACCGAGTTGCGGCGGGTAAAGATGTTGGTGGTGAGCCGATTACAGGTCTGGAGGTCGAAAGCGAGGACTGCACCGTAAGTGGAGGTCCGGGAGCAGCCGTAGGATAAGAAGACGACGACGAAGCAGGAGCAGATGTCTGCGCTGGCGTGTCGAATGTGTCGAGGTACGCCGGTTTTAAGGCGTCCGTTGAGACAGTCCGTTCCGAGCCGTTGACCACGATGACGTAGACCTTGTCACTGATGCGGCGAAGGACCCGATGAGCTCCGCTGTAAAGCTGTTCAAGCGGTCTTCTGACGATGTCCACTCGTTGAAAGACATGCGTACATGTTCGCAAGTCCTTGAAGAAGAAGAGCCGACGTCGAGAGTGGTCAGAAGCCGGCGTGGCAATCAGCGCTCCCATAAGGGACCGAAGACGGCCGATGAAGGAGGTGTGGTCGACAGGCGAGCTGCATGGCGCGAAGAAAGCGCCGGGGATCCTCAGCGGCGTGCCGAAGACCATCTCCGCTGGCAAAGCCTAGAGGTCCTCTTTTTGTAGGCTTTCCGAAGGCCGAGAAGCACGAGTGGAAGTGCGTCAAGCCAAGGCGCCTGGGCGCGCATAAGCGCCGATTTGAGCGTGCGATGAAATCTTTCGACCATGCCGTTAACTTAAGGGTGGTGAGGCGTCGTCCTTATCCTCGTTGCTTCCTAGGCTTGAGCAAGCGCGGCAAAGAGAGATGACTCGAACTAAGTGCCCTGGTCGGAGGTGATTGTGAGCGGAAATCTATTGTCCGCGATCCAAGCTGACGTGAAAGCCTGAGCGACGGTCTCTGCCCGGATGTCTTCAAAAGAAACAGCTACTTGCTTTCTGGTGAAACGGTCGAATATCATCAGGCAATAACGGAAGTTCTTTACCTGAGGCAGCGTGACGATGTCGACGTGGACATGCTCGAAGCGGCTCTCCGTAGCTTGGAAGCAGGAGAGTGCAGCACGATTATGCCTGGAGACTTTTGAGCGCTGACACGGAAGACAGGCGCGTGCCAAGACGGTGGCGTCCTTACGAAGACCGGGCCAGACAAACTGCTGCGAGATGTCACGTACCGAGGCACGGACACCGGGGTGGGCGAGACCGTGAATAGCCTCAAAGGCGGTTTGACGAAGAGAGCGAGGCAGGTAAGGCCGGACTCGACCGCCGTGTGAATCGCAGGCCACCTTGATTCCCCCAAGGATGAGGCGTTGAATATTGAGGGATGTGCGTATTGCGAGCGATAAGAGCTCGTCGTCGCGAGCTTGTGCATCCGCGATGGCTTTGAGACTAAGCGCCGAAGGCAAGCTGACCGTGGCGCAGACTGGAGTTGCCGTTGAAGGATACTTGGAATGGTCCGATGGCCGGTCTGGGACGGGAGTGTCCTCAATATTCCGGGAGAGGGCGTCAGCAACGACGTTGTCTGAGCCGCTAACGTGCTGGAACTTGACGTCGAATAGCAGCAGAAAGTCAAGCTGCCGTTGTTGTCGAGGAGAGGCCTTATCCGAGGGCTGGCGAGCTGCATAGATGAGCGGCCGATGATCCGTCACCACCGTGAACGGAGGACCCTCCAGGTTGGATTCCGGTAGGGGCGCTGTACGCATAAACATCGTTCCGTATCGCTGCGACTTATTACATTATATTAATCATTAAAGTGAACAGAAAATATCAAAAACATCTCAAAGGGGATTAGAAACTCCTAATGAATGATAATATTAGTGAGAAAGTGAACACACTATCTAAAAAAAGGGAAAAAAGTGCCTCAAAACAACACCGCAGCCAAGATGGCTGACGGCAGTGCCACAATGCACGGTAAGAAAAAGGGCTCGGATACAACATCCATGAATTTAGTGAATAAAATACAACGAAGCCAAAATCAGAAACAAAGAACCATCTCTACTGAAATGTTAGACAGTGAATACAAAAAAATTGTAAAAAATGCATTAAAGGAAAAAAATATACATCGTCCTAACCTCAATGTGCAAAGGCTAAAACATCAAAAACCTCAAGACAACATTGAAAATAATCAACAAATACCAGCAAATAAAAATGGCTGGATATACCCTGCGAATACAGTAAGACCACAAGAATCAACAGAACAGCATCAAGAGACATCTACCAGCAACAGGTTTAAAAAATTATCCGAAAAAACCGATAATACCAATGATCTCAACAATACCGAAGATGATGACGATGGTAAGATGGAAATCACAACAGATGGCGACATCGCAACCACAACAAACCAAAAACTAACAACTCCAAAACAAAAGGAACACAGACTATCTCCAATAATCATAAGCGGAGTTACAATTAAGGAAACAGTAAAATTGCTGTGCGATGAAGCAATTAATTAAACAGACTTTAGGCTTAAACAAGTAAGTCCAAATAATAACATTACTATATCATGTATTAATCTAGACACTTATGCAAAAGTAAACAAGATATTCACAGATAACCAAAAACAATACAATACATACACACCCAAGAATTTAGGACCGAAAACAATCATTTTAAAAGGAGTGAACGGAGGATACACGGCTGATAAAATAAAAAATGAATTATATGAGCTAAAAATCCAGAATGTAGAAATTATAAAAGTTCAGCCGATAATATTCAAAACTGAAAGAGGACAAGACGTTACCCATCACTTAGTTTAGATTACAAACGAAAGTGTAAAAGCCGAAATAATGAAAGTTAAAGGACTGCTTTCCCAGAGTGTCAAATAGGAACACCTAGGGAAAAAAATAATACTACAATGTTGTAATTGCTAAAAACTTGGTCACTTACGAGCCAATTGCCATTTACAACAAAAATGTGTCAAATGCAGTAGGACTCATGAACCAAATATGTGCAAAATTAACGCTCAAAATCCAAGGGAAGCTCTTAAATGTGCAAACTGCGGGCAAAATAGCCATCCAACTAGCTACAAGGGCTGTGAATATTATAAAAACGCCCTGAAAATAATAAAAGAAAATAAAAACAACAAAAGAAAAGAACTAGTCACTAGATTAAATAAAGCAAACAGATACATTGACCCCAATATCCCTTATGCGGCAGCCTTAGGGAAAAACCAACAAGCAAATATACCAAACTCGAATATAATATATGAAACCACAAGACAACCATCTAAACAAGTGGAATCAACAGCACCACCACAATGGGCAAGAGAATTGCTGGGACAACTTGCAATACTTAATCAAAGACTGACAACACTAGAAAAACAAATCAGTCAAAACAGCAAGAAAGTAAATTATTTATACGAAATAAAAAATCTTGAAATATTGGAACAATGAATCCTGAACGTCAACCGTCTCAAACTGAAGCAAGGACATCAAACATCGATGATACTAAAAAAACCCTGAAAACAGCAGCTATAAACGTAAACTCAATTATTAAGCACCAAAGAAGATATGATCTCACAAAACTAATAACGGAAAATAGCCTCGACATCACCTTAGTCACAGAGACCAAGCTTAACCCCAAACATAAAATGAACATTGATGGATAAAAAGTCATCCGCACTGACAGACCTGGCCTAAACCAAGGAGGTGGTACAGCAATAGTAATAAAAGACAGCATCGAATTTACAACAATCTCATACCCAAAGTCTAACAACAACAAAATAATTGAGTACACCTTAATTAAAGTAAAACTAAGTAATGCGAAACACCTAATCATCGGCAGCCTCTATGCAACTACAAAAGTAGAATCAAAGCAGATATTCCTAGATGAAATAAATGCTCACTTCTCTAACTTAAACTTAAATAACAGCAACATATTCTATATAATCGCTGAAGACTTCAATGCAAGACACAAAGACCTAGGTGATAGGACCACTAAAACAAGAGGTAGATGGCTGATCAACTGGGAGAGGGACAATTCAGTCAACTATAGAACAAAAATACACGCTGCACATGAGCCAACCTTTACTTCAAAAAACTCGTATCAAGATATTTGCATTGCTGATGCCAGATTAAAATTAATAAACTTAAAAAATAATAAGCTTAACACAACAGAATATGATAGTGATCATAAAGCTATTATCATAGAAATAAACCTACAAGATATCTCTCTAAAAACAAAAACGGAGGACAACCCTGACATATTACATTTCAAAAAAATAAATTGGAAAAAATTCAATAAATACCTCGATGAAAATTACGACCTTATTCCCAGTGATAAAAACTTATCAACAGAGGAGATAAGCAATTACATTCAAATAATGAATAAGCATATCACAAACGCGATAACATTAAAAGTGCCAAAAAAGCCCAGAAACAATAATTTTAACAGCTACTACATAAACAATAAAATTGAAAGACTACACAAACAAAAATCACACCTATTAACACAGCTTGACAAGGTCCCGAAAACAGATGCAGGTAACAAACAACTAATCAGCAAAATCAAGCATATACTGGAGCTCACCAGAAAAAAAATTCAGACCGAAATAAAAACAAACATGGAAAACAACTGGGAAAAAATCACCAAAAAAATTGATCATCGTGACCCTAACGAATTTTTTCCAATTATTAATAAATTATTTAGACCACACGACAAAATCGAGATGCCAAACCTCACCGTCAAGGAAGGAAAAGACCATCTCATAGCCCGGTGTTGAATACCCAAAGAAACTCTAAGCAAAGTTGGCAATGATTATGTGATAACAGAAGAACAGGATAAAATTAGCATAATTGGAGCATATTATGAGACAATTAATTCACCGCGATACCTAAACCATGGCACTGTCCTCAAGAACACAGTTGACTAAACAGTCACTGACTTTTTGAATAAACTAGAATCAAACAGAAATAACAACGTTACAATCACTGTATTCTCCGACGACAACAGACCATATTCACCAAATGACCTAGCAAATAATTTATTCTGTACTCCAGAAAAAGTAAATAATATTCTCAAAAGGCTACCGAATAAAACTTCGACAAGCATCGACGAAATTCCATCAATTGTATTGAAGCACCTCCCGCGGGCAATGATTAGAGACTACTCTACTCTCTTCAACAACGCGCTAAACCTGCAATATTTCCCTGAGGAATGGAAAACATCTAAAACTATTCCAATTCTCAAGAAAGGCAAACCAGGAAACCTACCGTCAAGCTACAGACCAATCAGCCTGACCCCTAACATCAGTAAGGTTTATGAGGCCGTCATAAATGACTCAATAACTGCACACTGCAACGTACATAAAACAATTCCCGACAACCAATTTGGGTTCAAACACCAACACTCTACAGTGYACGCAATAAACAAGCTGCTATCAGACGTCACGGCGCACCTAGATGGGGACCTAGTCGGGGCTACGCTTATTGACCTGGAAAAGGAGTTCGACACGGTATGGTTGTATGGCTTACTATATATATTAATAATAAATTATTTTCCAGAACACTTAATCGGCATAAATTGGAGTATGATCAGCAAAAGAACCTTTTACACCTGGAATGGCAAGACAAAATCCACAGCCTTGTTCAAAATTCTAGAGGGGCTACAGCAAGGCACGGTGAACTCACCTACGCTGTTCAACATTTTTACAAGCCATATTTTGAATGCATTCAAACTAAACCGAAATAACAACACCTATTCGATAGCCTACGCTGATGACCTTATCATTTACGTGGCTGCTAAATACCCGAGCATATTAAAAAAACTACTAGAGTCTCTGGTCAACAAAATAAACAACTTATATGTGAATATATGTATAATTTTAGTTTTAAGTTAGTTTAAGGTTAAAAATAAGATTTATGATCGGGTTTTTTGTTAACAAAAACTTTTTTTTCCCATACAGCTTACCAAACTAGATAGAAAGATAATAAAAAAGAAAAAAATTACAAATGTCACTCAAGACTGATTAAAATATTTAAAATAAGAGTAATTAAGGAACCGAGAGCTGCTAACGCCAGCCAGGGCTCACTATAAACTAACAAATAGCATAAGAAGTTTTTATAATTAGTTTATTTTTACTTATAAACACAAATGTATTGTTAAAAAGAAAATAAATAAACTTTAAAATAAAAAAAAAAATAGGACCCTCCAGGATTCGCCTGAAGTAATGCACTGCTAGGAAGACGGCCAGGAGCTGCCGATCGTAGGTACTATAGCGAGCCTGCGTTGAAGACAGCGTTTGCGAGAAGAAGCCGATAGGCCCTTATTCTTCGTCGACGAGCTGCAGTAACGCAGCGCCGACGGCCGAATTGGAGGCGTCGGTTGCGTGACGAAGCGGGGCGGACGGTGAGAGGAAGGCTGTCTGCGTATCTGTCGCGAGGCTGCGCCGAGCGTTTTTGAACGCACGGTCAGCTGCATCGTTCCAGATGAGCGGTCGATGGCTGCCGATGGGAAGACCACGAAGGGGCTGGTTGAGCGATGCCTGGGTATGAACAGCATGCAGCAAGCTCCGCCTGAAAGAATTCAGCATACCCAAAAAACGCCGCAAGCTCCTTGGCGTTGCGGGTTTCTGAAAGTTCCGAATTGCGAGGACATTACGCTTCGGAGGACGAATGCTATTCGAAGAGATCCGATATTCTAAGAAGACAACACTGGGAAGTCCGAGCTGCAATTTATCGACCTTAAAGTCCGGACTCCCGCAAACGAAAGAAAAGGACCCGAAATGGTGGAGGTGCTCCTCGTGCGAGGAGGACTGGACGCAAATGTCATCGATATAGCAGCGGACGAATGGGAGATCTCGAAGCAGCAAGTCCATGAACCGCTGAAAGGTCTGAGAGGAATTGCGAAGGCCGAGAGGCATTCAAAGGAACTCGAACAAGCCGAAAGGCGTAGTCACAGCCGTTTTTCCGATGTCAGATTTAGCCATCGGATCTTGGAAATAGGCCTCCTGAAGGTCAATGACCGAGAAGACCGAGTTACCGTAGCTATCCTCGAGCAAATCCTCGATGACGGGGAGAGGATAACGATCAGGTAACGTGATAGCGTTTAGACGACGATAGTCGCTTGTCGCTCGGAAGCAGCCTGTAGCTTTTGCTACGAGGTGGAGTGGGCTGGTCCATGGGCTAGAAGGCGGCCAAATAACTCCTTGCAGAAGCAGGCGGTCGAAGGTGGACTTAGCCGCGGTTAAGCGTTCGCCAGCGAGGCGACGCGGACGTCCGAAAACGGGCGGTCCAGCCGTAACAATGCGGTGCACCACACTGCAGCCTTAAAGCACAGCCCCGGATTTTGAAGGCAGAGCGAAGTCGGCGAACTCGACGAGTAACAAGTCGTAGGCGGCTCGATTGCGCAAGTCTGACAAAACTGCGACAGAAGCAACCCCGTGGAGGGCAACCTTCCGTAGATGTAATGTCGATTCCTGAGCCGATTTAGGATCGACGAGGCGTTAGCGACGAATGTCAACCAGGAGGCCGGAATGATTGAGGAAATATGCCCCGAGAATGAACTCTGGCACGTCGGCTACCACGAACATCCACTGAAACTCTCGCGGAAGATCAAGCGAGAGCGTCAGCAGGTGGCGACCGAAAGTGCGGATGGGGGTGCCGTTAGCAGCGATCAAACGAAGTTCGTCACAAGAGAGCGATTTCGAGACAAAACAAAGGGGTAGGAGTAAAACTACTGAGCCGCAGTTCACTAGCATAGAGTGCTGCAACAACCTCTTGAAGACATGAGGGCGGTAGTCCGAAACGGACGAAGATGGGCAACTGATTACTGCCGACTTGTGCGGTAGAGAGATTAGTTTTTTGAAGTGAAAACTTTTTTAGAATAGGAGTGATCTGAAAAGTAAAGAAATGCAGCTATGTTGTAACGAAGCTATGAAACGGCTGCTATACTAAATAACGAGAGAAAGGGAGACAAACATACAGGATTGAGCTTGCGAGAGAGAGACGGAATATGGCTATACAGTTTTTCTTATTCTTGGTCTCCTCTTTATGCTATGCTTCGTAGTTATCGCTCCTGGTTCTATATCTGTGCGTTTGTTGCGACTGCATACTACAAAGCATGGACACGTATTCTTTCGATACTCGAACTGTTTGTAGGTAGGAGCGATAGAAGGGTAGAAGGAATAAACAGAGATTGACACGTAGGTATGCGACAAAAGTATAAGGTCCAAACGAACCGACGGTTGAAGTAAGGAAAGAAGGTGCGTGGTCTGTTTTTATTTTACGTAACGTGTAATTTCTTCTCTATTTAAAAATGTTTCTATTTTGTTGAAAAATTAATATTAAATTATTATTTATTTCGCAAATATTAAAATTAACAATTATGAAATATATAGAATATAATAATTGTATTGTCTGCAATATTTTACAAAAAAAAAAAAAAGAAATGATTATCAGATATATCAGGGAAAAAAAATTGAACAACATTGTAGAATACTTTTCTTGTAAATATCCAAAAACATGTTATTAAATATAATGTTTGCGTATTTAGGAAATTTATACTAATTTTTCAATAAAATAGAAAAGTTTTTATATAGGAGAAACTAGACACGTGACAAAAAAATAAACTCTCTTTACTTTATATTTTCAATAAGAATAAAATAATATAACTTATTTTACAAATATGGAAAAAAAATATGGAAAAAAAATTTTTTTTTTTTAATTTTTAATATCATAAATTGAAACAACGGAAATAATAAATAGATTTTAAAATCGTTGTAATTCAAAACCCGATGAAACGAAATAAATATGACAACAATTGTTCCCTTTTTTAACAGCATCTACAGTTATTAATTGCGACACCAAAAAAAAAAACTTGTGTATGCTAACCATGAAAAAGATATCTCACATTCACAGAAATTGTGAAAAGTGTAAAAGAAAAAATTCATTTACCTGAGTTTCAAAAAAGTATATATTATATTTACTTGGATTAGAGGACGACGTATTTCTCTATCGACAAATATTCTACAATTTTCGTATCTCTCTATGGCTATCGCATTCAGCATTCCATCTTGATGGATAGAATTTTGAAAATATTAGTTTTTGTCAGCTACCTACATCCCAACGTCAGTTCCTTATCATGAGAAAAGAATTATAAAAAACAGGGAATGTCTGTTGAGATTCGATCTACATTTATTATATATTTATTATTAATGCGATAATATTCATGCTTATAGTTTTTTTTTACAACGTGCCCTATCTTTTCTATTTAAAAATGTTTCTATTTTATTGAAAAGTTATTATTAAATTCTATATTTCGCAAATATTATAATAAATAATTATGAAGTACATAGAATATTTAATAATTGTATTGTCTCAAATATTAAAAAAAGAAAAAGGATTACCAGATACATCAGAGAAAAAGAATTAGAGAATACTGTGGAATAAATGAGGAGCAGCTGACAAATTCCATTCAAAAGCAAGTAAATTACTGTCACATTTTTATATTTTGCTTNGTCGTGACCGGTTGAGAAATCTCTAAATTCGTTCTTACTCTTCAAGTAAGAACTGGTGACAGCGGCCACTCGTGAAATCTCTTCTCGAGACGTAACATTATAAAAATTTTGGAATCTACTGAGATAATTCACACTTTAACATATATCGGGCCGTGTGCTTGAACTTATATATAATAAAGTACCTATCACATTCCTATATTTTAAATTTGATTCACTATTATCAGCCTTTTTAATTTTCAAGTTTGTTTCCATAGGAGTGTTGTACAGTTTACTGTTCTCTGTCTGATACTTATTTGCTAATGATTCGATATACTTTGTTTGGTTTAGTTTCATTTTTCGGTTACTATAATCATAATCTACGTTGATTCCGAGATATTTTTTTATCTCTCTTAAGTCTTTCATTCTAAATCTTTTCGCTAATAAATTTTTTATTTCCTGAATTTTTATTTTATCTTTACCACAGATTAGTAAATAATCGACATAGATTAGTAAATAAACTTCTTCTTCATCAAGCGAGTATAAACATAAATCTACATTATTTCTTTTAAATCTTAGACTTGTAATATACTCATCAAAACATTCATACTAGTCTCGAGGACTTTCTCTCAGACCGTATAGCGCTTTATACAATTTATACTCTTTATTGGACCCATCTTCATAACCTCTAAGTTGACTGATATAAACCTCCGTATTTACTTTGCCATTCAAAAAGGCAGTTTCTACATCCATTTGTTCAATAATCAAGCTATTTTAGCAACAATATGAAAATAATACTTTTAATGTTTGAATCTTTGCTACCGGAGAGTATATATCATCAAGTACATCAGTTTGTTGAAAACCTCTTACAACTAAACGAGCTATATATCTATTATTATTCTTTCTTCTATAGACCCATTTAACATCGAGTAAATTTTTATCTTTTACTCTATCTACCAACTTCCAAGTTTTATTTTTATTTATACATTTTATTCCTTGATCCATAGACTTTTTCCAATTTTTGGGATCTACACTTTCTATCGCCTCCTCAAATGTACAAGGCGTATCTATTTTACTATAATTTACATATATGTTATAATTTTCTGGTTCCGGATACCTTACAGTAGGTTTTCTCTCGCGCATGGACTTTCGCGGAATATTTTGAACTACATGTTCTTTATCTTTTACTGGTCCATCAGATTCATCGGCGCTTTCAAAAACATTAATGTCGCCTTCGCTACTTACAGAGTTATATCTT